AGAACTGTTATTACAAAATTGAACGACATTCGCCCTGACAACTAAAAAGTCCCGAAAGGCTTACAGAAGACATTTCCACACAGGAACCAGCGACACACAGTCGACCTGGGCCACAGCTGGAGCCATCCTTAACCAGTCCCACATTTTCATCTGCGATAGATTTGCATTGCACCTGAAAAACGGAGCGAACATGAACGAGAGCAGGACTAATTAGAATAAACTGATTAGTTGAGCTATAGAGACTTTTCAGTGCTTTATTAGAGGTGCATTGCGCGATAACCGAATAGGCGGAGACTGAGAAGGGTCGCGCCAACGAGGTGGTTCTCTGCCTTCGCCCATATGATCACTGCAGAATACCGTTGATTGACTGGTTTCAAACGTGTAACAGTAGCACTAATAGCCAATCGCAAACTGCAGACATTTTGGCAGAAGTTTAACTGTTAACCACTTAGTGGAGGTGATCAAAGCCTACATTTTTGCCATGGTCGTTAGCTATTCTCACTAGATGCGTTTACTATGCTGAGGGTTGATTGACAGGCAAACCCATGGCGATGAGGAAGCTGCCATCAAATACAACCCTCCTTGCCAAACCAGTAGGTCCCAAACTTCCATCAATCGGGAGGAAAAGGACCTTCTCGCCAAATCAACAGAATACAACTTCTACCCACCCTGCCATGGAAGAATCGTCAGCTCACGTCTCACTTCCTGGAAGCACTCCCAGGAAGCTAATCAGTCCTTACGCTATTTTTAGTATGATAACGGCCGGGTGGGTAGAAGTTGTATGTAGATGTGGCAACGAGGCACAGCCTTTGTACCTTCCTTTCATTTCTCTTCTCTTTTTTCTTTCCTTTCGTTATCAACTAAAACAGGAGCTCGAGCTTACAACTCCCCCAACCTCGCGCACTTCTTGCATTTTCATAAGCGAGTGATGTTACGAGGGGATGAGTTTGAATTAACATAGACAAAACTACACCGCCGCACTGATCCTATTGGCGAGGGATCATGTAGGGGACGGGGTGAGGGTGTGCCGCATAAGAGGATCAGAAACGTACATGCGATTAACCTCGAACCGAACAAGACAACAAGAGGAACTATGTAACTTGGTCGGGTGTGTAGTTCAGAGCATTTAAGGCACGTCGTCTCACGCGAGGCGGATAGTATCCCTAGCTAGTTGACCCAACATAGCACTTTTACGTGAAATCAAGAGTTCCATAACAGCTTGCGTCCAGTCTTATTTGTTTTGACCGGTCTGCCTTATGCAAGCTGAAGTGACACATTTGAACTTATGTTGAAGTGATTTATTGAGTCAACTAGATAGGAGTGCTGGCTTGAGCGCAATACCCCGCCTCGGGTGTCCTTAACTACACCCATCTCGGACACATCCAGTTAATTTATACTAACAGGGTATGTGGGGATTTAATCGTGGCGCACTGCCATGTCCACGGGCTGGTGGGCGTGACTGGCAACGACGTACCTCGCCGCGTACAAGTTGTGCTGTCCCATGCTCGCTGAAATTGTTAGAGAGTTCACAGACGGGTGGTATGGCAACGCGATGTTGGTTAAGACAGCCTTCACTGCAGATTTTTTGCTCTATTGGCAATCTCTACCGCCTCCTCTACAAATGTGAATGAGAGCAATATCCCAAAGGACTGGAACTTAGCACCGCTACAAACTGAGCCCTAAAAACTCATCAAAGTGGCGCTTTCTGTTATGCACGAGTTTAAAGAGGGAAGCGTATGAGAAGGATTAACTTACTTGTTTGTCATCCTGCTGAAACTGGAAGGTGAATGCCCTCAGAGCAGACTGAGATGGTGTTGTGGCTCCATCCTGGCACTGTAGAGTACCGCACCGGATATGTTCTTGTTGACAGGACCGGTAGGTACCTGTGCCGTCAATAGTACCACAGTTAGCGTACTCGTGTCCACGAGTGTTCTGTTTAAAGCATTCCTGTTCAGCAACTCTAGCACCTGAAAAAAAACAGTTGGCTATTCAGAAACCTTATTTACGGTCTCTTGAAAAGAGAATAAAACTTCTAATTTTTGACATTGTACAGGAACTAGGCAACATTTAAAGATGAAATAAAGGTTTTAGCCTATTTTCGAGTAAAAAACGACACTGTTCGGCTTGGGAAGGGCATTTTCAGTTCCGCTGGTTTTTTTTGCTAGTGCCTGCCAAATTACACGCCTCACCATGGTGAGACCTGTAAACGAAGCTCATGCTGCTGCAATGCTAAATAGAAATTCACAGGTTTCCACAGAAGGCTTTGGCAGTGGTGTAAAAGAACCACCAAAATGCGTCATAAACATTAATAAAATGTGAGAATCCACACCTTCACCCCAGATCTCTTGACATTGCTGATGCGGATCACTGCAGTTACCACGCCAGCACTGGCCAGCCCGTCCACACGCCGTTCCGTCCATGAGATGACCATCCGGAGGACAATCACCAGACTTTCCGTCACAAGTCTCAGCCACGTCACACGGCGAACGAGCACTCCTGCACACCTCTCCTGACTTTCGTAACTGAAAACGGAAATTCAAATTCGTAAATTCCAAACTTCACTTGAAGTGTGCGCAAAAGGGTGCTTTCATAACTCAAAGTTACACCATCGAGCTTTACTTCTAGGCTGGTGTGCTGACCAAAAGTGGGTGCTGTAAAAGTGCGAAACAGTCAGGATATATTCCGCGATAAACGGAGAGATGGGCGGAGATCAGCACTATTCCGTCTCCCACTGGTACAACCCTGCTTCTATTACAATAAAAAGGATAGGAGAGCCAATGAGGAAGGCACCATAGTTAATAGTCTCCGCCCACTTCTCCACTCCT